TGGGGTGAGATCAACAACAGACAGTCTAAGGTTAAAGTTTTTGGGGTTTGGGGAAGAAACCACAGAGTCAGGTAGTGCATTCCAGGCATTGACCACTCTGTTACTGAAGTAGTATTTTCTGCAATCAAGTTTCGAGCGGTTTCCCTTGAGTTTGTATGTATTGTGTGCTCGTGTATTGTTGTGGCTGAAGCTGAAGTAGTCATTGACGGATCGGACATTGTAGCAGATAATTTTATATACTACGATTAGGTCAGACCAAAAGCGGCGTAGTTCTAAGTTGTCTAAGGCCAACATTTCAAGTCTGGTGGTATAAGGTATTCTGTGGCGAGTAGAGGAGTGGAGGACTCTTCTCGTGAAATAACTCTGGACTCTCTCAGTTGTATTAATGTCCAATATCCGGTGTGGATTCCAGACAGATGAGCTGTATTCGAGAACATCCATGTAGTACCCTTGGCATAAAAGTGATCTTCCAGGAAATTCTTTCAAGTTCCAGCCAGCCCCACCACACTGCTCATACTTTATAGGTTACTCATCCTAAATACTAACCCAGGTCGATCCTACTTAGTTTCTGGTCCAGAGAAGATCCATCTGTTGTCCTAAATACCAGCAACATCCTAACATCTTCTGATCACATGCCCCTAATTGGTGCCCTCCATGTGTATCACACAAGCTAGGATTCTAAGCCAACGTGACCATACTAGGGTTGTGAGGGTACACGAGGTCAGAGAAGGCTTAACAAAGAAGACCAAGAAGGATCCGTCTTCTGGATTGCCTTTACGTATTATTGAGCTTTGGGACATTTTAAGGAACAATATTTCTGGTATGGATGCTTTTATGAGAAGTTTTGGTTAGGATGTAGTATTATCATACATTTACTGGATGGATATAACCAATGTTCTTTTAAAGTAAGGCCATTTAGCCATTGTGTTCCAGGATTCTCAACGGCTTGGCCTGAAGCTCTTTAAAACAGAGGTCTTCCAACATGACAGCTTTAAGACTTGTGCACTTCAAATCCCAGAATTCCTAGCCATCCTGGCCATGAGCATTTGTCCAACAATTTCCAAATGGTACAGGTAGTCCTCAATTTACAACAGTTCGTTTAGTGACCATTCAAAGTTACAACATCATTGAAAAAAGTGACTTATGACCATTTTTCACACTTACGACCGTTGCAGCATCCCCCATGGTCATGGGATTTAAATTCAGATGCTTGGCAGTTGGGTTCCTATTTATGATGGTTGCAGTGTCCCGGGGTCATGTGATCCCCTTTTACGACCTTCTGCTAAGTAACGTCAATGGGGAAGCTAGATTCACTTAACAACCGTGTTACTAATTTAATAACTTCAGTGATTCACTTAACAACATGGCAAGGAAAGTCACAAAATGGGGCCAAAGTCACTTAATACATTTCTCACTTAACAACAGAAATTTGGGGCTCAATTGTGGTCGTAGGTTGAGGACTACCTGGACTGGTTGAGGATGTCTGCAGCATTGAGTTGAACCAGGAAAATTGGATCGAAAAAGGACCACACAAAAATTGCTACAATTTGTGTAAAGTATGTCATTTAAGCATAATAAATCATGACTATTTATTTATAGTCATGATCAAACAATCGTTCTTTTCAATAGGAAAAACACAGCAGAGCTTTTTTTAAAACTATTTTTTACTACGGTATTTAAAAAAAAAAAACTTGAGTTAACTAACAGTATTCTTGGTCTTTCTGCTTCTCTTGATTATCTGTTTTACAGAACTCTGGTGTTACTACAGAGGTTATTCAGTGGCACACTTCTCAATTAAAACAAGTCTTGCCTTAGCGCAATGACTGAGCTCACCCAATCTCCAAAAACTATGTTCTCTGGTAATGTTGGACTCACAAACAAAAAAATCTCCACACCACAAGCCAGGCAAACACCTGGGCACAAACAGATCCCCTCTGATACCTCCAGCTCAAACACACCCCAACCAGGCACCCAGATGAAACCTAGCTTCCTAATAAAGGATAGCCCTCCATTTACTCAGAGCCAAGCCGCACTAAAAGACTCCAATATAGGAACACAATGTTGCCAGCCAATCAAGACAAAAAAAGCCACAAAACAGACAGAAGATATTAGAAACACCAATCAAGCAGAACACAGCAAACTCCAAGACCAATAAACACAGACCAAGACTCCCTTCTCCCAAGGGTGAAGAAAAAACCATTCTGGCACAGCAGTAGGCTAGCCCCAAATTTAAAACTGAAACGGCTGTAAAAGCCTGACTAACAGATGAACACAATACAGAAGCCTGATGATGGCAGATGAGATTCTGCTGAAACATCGCTACAACTTTAAAAGCACAACTACAATGACATGGGAAAATACCCGAACAAAGCTGAATGCCACACATGTAAGTACCCGCAAAAACTTAAGAAAACACACACACACACGCACACACACACACACACACACACACATATATATTTTCTGAAAACCAAAGATACACACACACACTCTATCTATCTATCTATCTATCTATCTATCTATCTATCTATCTATCTATCTCCCCAAACTGGACCCCAACTTAAATAAATAATTTCTAATTAGCCATGTGATAGTACAGTCTCCATATGCAATAGCAACACACCTAGACAAGATAAAATTGCAAACAGGACAGCTTCCCTGAGCTGTTTGTAAACTTCAGACCACAAGTAAAATCTCATGTTTTGCCTGTAGATTTATATGTAGATTTTAATGGATGGCAATTCTTTTAATAGAAACATAATGGGTACCTTCTTCAGTTATCTTTTGGAACAAGATAAAATTTGTCTCTGGAATCTGACAAATTAACATTCGCACCAATTTGTACCTTCACAGTTAGGTACTAAGGAAAAAAAAGAACAGACTGTTTTGGATTTAAATGATGGAAAGCCATTGTAATTATTATTATTATTATTCATTCATAGCAGTATGGGCTGGCTCCTTAGGAAATTCCCAGTGTATTTCTTTTTGTTGTTGTTGTTGTTGACAAGTTGCCCAGGGGCTGAAACAGAGTGATAAAGCAACACTGGCTCAGTTTCTATGGCAAATCCCTCCCATTACCTGAAGCACTTCAGACTTTCATGAAAACATGCACATTGCCATGCGATCACAATAACAGGGCATTACCATAACTTTTGAATCTCACATCTGCACATTTCTCCAGCATTCCGCTTTTGAGAAGCAAATAAAAACCTTGTGCTCCCATGGCCAAAGGAAGCAATCTATTATTTAGGTGGGGAGTGGGGGGGAGGGGGAGAAGCCATTTCTTAGACATCTTGAACTTGCATTTAATCCACTGGGATACAACATAATGATTTGCAATCTGTATACATACACTTTCTAATACAGGTAGGGGTTTTGGAGGGGTTCCAAATATGTGGGAATGCTTATTCCAAGTTTAGATTCCAGGAATCTTTGCCAGAATCCAGTGATCAGTGTCGTTCTGCCATATGCACTTGAGAGCATGCAATCTTCTCCCTACCCAGATTCTGTTCCGAAAACACCCTAAACGCTCAAAATTGACATCATGATTTCCTGAACTAACCGAATGCCTAAATATCGAACCATTAATTAAGGAAACTAGTAGCTTTCACAAGACATACAGAGTCCATAGCATGTTCGACCCTGTTATAGCCTAGAGGGGTGTAAACATAGCCTTACTCAGAGGAGACAGGTGGGAGGAAAAAGAAAAGGAGAAAGGAGAGAGGGGAGAGGGAGGGAAAGAGAGGGAGTGAGAGAGAGAGAGAATGCACTTGTCAGCCCAAAGCATGTCTGAATGCAGATATGCATCAGGGTTTGTGATGGGGCCTTTCTTGAAGGATTGTAGTCTTCAGAAGACAAATGGAGTCCCATAGCTACCACTTTTTAACCTAGAGTGATATATACACAGCCTTAATCAGAAAGACAGAAGGGGGAAAGAGAGAAAGGAGAGAGAGAGACAGAGAGAGAATGCACTTGTAAGTCAGCGATATGTCTGAATGCAGATGTGCAGCAGGATATGTGATAGGGCTTTTCCTGAAGAATAATTATAGCCTTTAGAAGACACATAGAGTCCATGACATAGTCAACCACGTTTTAATCTAGAGGGGTGTAAACACAGCCTTACTCAGAGGAGACAGGTTGGGCGTGGGGTGGGGGGGAGAATGCACTTGTCAATCAGAAGCATGTCTGGATACAGATGTGATGGGGCTTTTCTTGAAGAACGATTGCAGTCCTCAGAAGACAAATGGAGTCCATAGCTACCACGTTTTAACCCAGAGCGGTGTAAACTCAGAAAGATAGAGGGGGGAGGGGGGGGAGAGAAAGAAAGAGAGAAAGAAGAGGGCGGAAGGGAGAGAGAATACACTTGTCAATCAATGCAGATGTGCATCAGGGTATGTGAGGGATGATTGTAGTCACCAAAAGACAAGTGGACTCCCTAGCTACCACGTTTTAACCTAAAGGGGTGACAACACAGCCTTACTCAGAGGAGACAGGAAAGGGACGGAGGGAGAGAGGGAGAGAGAGACAGACAGAGAGAGAGAGAATGCACTTGTCAATCAATGCAGATGTGCATCAGGGTATGTGAGGGATGATTGTAGTCACCAAAAGACAAGTGGACTCCCTAGCTACCACGTTTTAATCTAAAGGGGTGACAACACAGCCTTACTCAGAGGAGACAGGAAAGGGAGAGAGAGAGAGAGAGAGAATGCACTTGTCAATCAGAAGCATGTCTGAATGCAGATGTGCATCAGAGTATGTGATAGGGGCTCTTCTTGAAGGATGGTTATAATAACCATACAAGAACCAGGATGCAGCTCTCAGCTCGGTGGCTAACTCGGGTTTCTTTCACCCCCACCCAAACCCGAACGTGCGAACGGCCCCGTGCACCAGAGCCAAGGCTGCCCAGGCCGCCCTCCGCTCTCCGTCCCCACTTCTCGGGTTCAGCTCCGGACCTCGGCAGGGCGGATGCCGACACCCCGCGGGCTACCCCGGCAACTCACACGAAGGCGTGATAGAGCAGCGCCCAGCCCCGCGGCCGCTCCAGCGCGTCGTAGATCAAGGTTTGGATCCGCCGGTACTTGACGTTGTTCCTCTTGACCGGCCGGCTCAGCGGGGTCTTGGCCAGCAAGCCGATGGCGGGCGCCGAGCGCCTCCCGCCGCCTTCCCTGCCCGTCCCTTCCAGCAGTAGAGCCCCGTCCCGGTCCGCCCCGGAGGCGCCCAGAGCCAACGTGCCTTGCTCCAAGTCGCCGGCCGAAGCCAGCTCCCCACCGGTCGCTTTGCTATCCAACACCCCGCCGGGAACCGCCGGGGTTTCCGCCGCGGCCGGAGTTGCCTTGCGGGACTTCACGCCCATCTTGCCCCTCGTCGGCTCGGCCCGCTTCTGCCCGGTTCCTTCGGGGTGAGCGAGAGCGAGGTGGAGAGGAGGAGGAGGAGGAGGAGCGGCCGCGGGGGGGAGCCCCAGGCCATGGTCCGAGCCTTCCTCCTCCCTCCTCCGCCGGGGCGGCGGGGGGTCCCCGGCGGCAGGGCGGGGCCGCGGGGGAGAGGGAAGCCGCGCTCCCCCTGCCTCAGGGCTCCCGCCTCGCCTGAGGGGAGCATCAGCTCCGGCGGGAGGGGGACGGCGCCGGCAGCATCACCACCACTATCAGCGGCCACACCTGGACGAGCGGCCTGGCCCTGAGGGAGAAAGAGGAGGAGGAAGGAAGAGGAGGAGGAGGAGGCGAGGAAGGCGGGAGCATCGCGGGCTTCTGGACCAGCCGGCGTCCTTCCCCCGAGGGCCGCCCTCCTCCCCACCGCTTCACCGCCGCCTCCGACGAGGACGACGTCCCCCCTCAGCTCCGCCTCACGGGCGGGCCCGTTCTCGGACCCGCAGGGAGGGGGGGGTTCTTTTGCCGCGCGGACGCCCCCCCTCCTCTCCTTTCCCTCCTTCGCCGCTTCCCTCGGCTTCCCTCGGGGTCGGGGCGGGGGAGGGCGAGTGTGGGCGCTGAGGGGGTGCGAAGGGTTTCCCCACCACCACACAGACACGCGGGCGGGCGCGCGCGCGCACCGCCACCCCGTCCCCCTTCTTGTTTGACAAGGGAAGCGTCCCTCAGGCTGGCCGGGGAAGCCCCCCCCCTTCCCACTCCCACGGCGCTTTGGCGGCCCCGGGGATTCCTCGTGTCAGCTTTTTGCCGACCAGCAGGCTGTGGGGAAGCCTGGGGTGGGGAGGGGGGGTGGGTGGGGGACAGAGAAAGGATCGTCCTCCCGGCCAGCCGGCCGGCCTGGCTCCGCCAGCGGGCGGAAGCACCGGAGAAACCGTGTGTGTGGTTGTGTGTGGTGTGAGGGGAGAGCAGGTCGTGTGAACGGAGGCTGTCGGGAGGAGACGGGGGATAGAAACCCCGTTTGCCGATGGAGGGAGGGGGGAAAACGGGAGCGAGGTGGTGATGGTGTTGTTTTTTTCGGCGCTCGGGGCTTTCCCACCCAGAAACGATGGGGTGGGCGTTGGTCCCGCGGACTCTTCTCACGGCTGCTGGGGTGGCGTTAAGTGCTGGGACGTGAGTGTGTAATCTGGATAAAATGCTGCCCAAGTGGCACGTTTTCCAGGGGTGCAAACAGAGGCCCTTGGAAACGCGGGGACGAGGTAGCCGTTCGAGTTAGGGCCACCCTCGAGCCCCCAAAATTGATGTTGCTAAGGGAAAACGTGTGATCCATTGTGCGGCTTTTTCTTGCCACAGTCGTTGAGGTCATCACCGCCTTTGTCACAGTTTGCACAATGGTTAAGGGAAGCCAGATTTCCCCCATTGATTTTAGCTTGTCAGAAGGTGGCAAATGCTGATCACGTGACTCCCGCAGGACACCTCAACCGTCATAACTAGGAACCACTTTGCCAACCCTCTGAATTTTGATCGCGTGAACATGCTGCCATAGTAGAGTGAAAAACAGTCGTAAGTCGCTCCGTTGAAACTTGGAACCTCACTTAATGAACTGTTGTTAAGTCAAGGACTACACGCAGAGCCCTCTCTGTGGTCATGTGCGCCTTGTCAACCCAGCTCAGCTCCACCGTGCATTCGCACACGCCTCCTGACAGCTATCTGGTCTTCGGGCCTCTGCCATGCATGCGTGGGGGAGGCGCATGCACCCCACCAAGGGTGCCTGCACGGAGGATGCATGCATGGGAGGCACATGCATGCAGGGCGCTCATGCCTGTGGGATGGGTGCGCATGCACCGGACGCGCGTGTGTGTGTTGCATTTTGGGTATGCGCACACATGTACACATGCTTTCAGCACTCGATGCCAAAAAGGTTTGCCATCACTGATCTACTGGATCTAGTTGTACTTTTTTGTCCTTTCTGGGATCAAAGATGGCTTCGCTTAATGGACTGAATGATTCATGTAAGAGCTGCAGCCATTTGCTTTAACACCTGCTGCAAAAAAAAAATGTCACAAAATGGGACCAAACTCATTTAACTGCCTTGTTTAGCCATGAAAAACGTTCGGGTCAGTTTGCGTTCGTAAGTCGAGGACTACCTGTAGTTCGTTTTTTCACCTCCCAATCTTAATGTGCAGCTCTGAGATTTTCTGGCGTTCTCTTGTTCGAGTGCAAGCTATGCTCATCTCACCGTAGCTTTCCAAATCGGCAATACAGTGCCTTCTCTTGTGAGAAAGGGAGGTTGAAAATGCCTTTGAGTTGATCTGCTGAAGCCTGTATAAATATGTTGTCTGGTTTTCTTTGGCAAAGTAGTAAGGTGATGTCTATGGCGATTCTCAAGTCATCCAGGTCATGGTTGTCCCCAAAGTGCTTTTTCAATTGGACTTTCTGGTGTTTTTTTCTTTGAAGATGTTTTGCTTCTCATCCAAGGAGCTTCTTCAGCTCTGAAGAAGAGCTGAAGAAGCTTCCTGGATGAGAAGCAAAATGTCTTCAAAAGGGGGAAAAAAACCCAGAGTCCAGTTACCTCTTGAAAAAGCACTTTTGGGATAGTATGGTGATGGTTTGCCATTCACTTTAGGAGTTTTTTTAAAAAAAATTCCACGTATATCTTATCTGCCTGTGATTTCCTCTTGGTCTCTCATTCAAACAACAACCTGCTTTGTTTAAGGAGAAACTTCCTAACAGTGAGGCCAATTAATCATGAAAACTTAAGAAAACAAATATACATATATACATACACACACACACGTATACATAAACACACACACATCTATATCTGTAGATAAGTATATATGTATCTATCTGTGTGTGTGTATACACATATATGTGTATCTATCCATCCATCCATCCATCCCCATCCATTGCCTTCAGAAATCATGGCCGCTCCATCGCTGGAGGTTTTTAAGAAGAGAGTAGACAGTCAGTTATCTGAAGTAGTATAGGTTCTCCTGCTTGAGCAGGGGGCTGGACTAGAAGACCTCCAAGGTCCCATCCAGTTATTTTCTATTCCAATTCCAGAAGGGGGCCAAGGTTAACTAGCTGTTGGCCCCCTAGTGGGCAACCTAATCTCCAGCAAACATTTGCAAAAACAAACTGAGGACATTAAGCCAAATAGAAAAGACATCTAGTAAACTCCAAATGGATGGATTCTCTCCTGTCTGTAAAAAAAAAAAAAAAACATACCAGGAACCTGGAAGAAGAAAAATGCTTAACCCATTCCAGCCACAGTTGCTGTTAAATAAAATGAATCATAGGTGGGTATTCATGTTTAAGCATCATCCTTTCTCCTCTCTTCAGCTCCGTTGCTTTTCTTTGATCAGATGTTTTATAACCGGCAATCTTCCCATTTCAGATGCATAGTGTCAAAACAGGAAGCAATTATTCCTTTGGGGGGCACAGCTGGAGCACAGCTGGAGCACCTGGTGATCTTCCTAGCTTCCTTGGTTGAGGGAGCACCATCGCTTGAGACTTTCAAGAAGAGATTGGACTGCCATTTGTCAGAAGTGGTGTAGGGTCTCCCGCTTGGGCGGGGGGTTGGACTAGATGACCTACAAGGTCCCTTCCAACTCTGATTATCTGTTATCTGATAGATGGACTTGGGAAGCATGCTTGAGAGGAAACACAAAGACAAGAATGTGCTTAGTCACCCATTAAGTCTCAACACCAAGTACACAATATTCTTTCTTGCCCAGTCATCCAAGAGGCCACAGAGGAAACCCATTTGGAGCTCAATGAATGAGAGAAACTGGCTTGCACGCTGCATTAAAATACAGTTTGATGAACTATGGCTTACTGGATAAACCAGCATTGGCTGGAGATGCATCAGCACATTATTCCAGCGATGGACAACATCCCATCCAGGCCTCTTATGGTTCTCAGGTCCTTGTGTGCAGCTTCCCGAGATCTTCAAACATTACTACCAAATTGTAATTTATCGTGAGATAAAGGTGGATCAGAAAGAGGTACTGTTTCCTGGATTTTTTAAAAAAATTTCCAGTCCAGCCTACAATTATGATGATCTTCCTTCAAAGACTAAGTAGGTCCAACTCTGATAGCTTTTTGAGGCCTGGCAGGATTACCGGGTACTGCCATCTAACTCACCTATCTGTGAAAGAAGAAATGCATTAAATATATAGTTCAATACTAATAATATCATCCATCTTTCATCTGTTTTCCTGACCCAATTACTATTTTGAATGCACTTCTAGCAGACTACTCCAAAGCCTAGGTAGAACAAAGTCCAGAATAAATTGCACGTCCATCTATTAAGCCATATTTTGCAAATCACTATGTGTCAGGGCTGTGGCAGGAAAATTACAGCATAGTTTGATTAGGGCTATTCAGATGGGCTGCAGAAATAAATATTTTGAGTATCTTTGCTGTCATCTAATGCTCATCCTGATTTGTAGATATGGTAACCTAAACCAACGTGGATTTATCTGAACAGAAGAAGGGAACTATCCAAGAAACTCTACAAGGGTTACAGAGTTTGCTCTTCGAAAATATCACAGCAAGGAAGCAGTCAGGAAATGTGACCAGGTACAAATCCTGAATGACTCCTCAGAACCTGTTAGCTGTCTCTGCACAATGACCATATTCTAGATTATTGCATGGATATAAAGTCTCATCCTATTTGACGTGGTTAGAATGCAGTGCTGCAGCTAACTCTGCCCACAGCAGCAGTTCAATCCTGACCGGATCATGAGTGACTCAGCCATCCATCCTTCGGAGGTCGGTAAAATGAGGACCCAGATTGTTGGGGGCAATAGGCTGACTCTGTAAACCATTCAGAGCGTGCTGTAAAGCCCTGTGAAGTGGTATATAAGTCCTAAGTGCTATTGTTACTGTCCTTGGCTCAATGGGTGTCGAAAGTTCAGAGAAGGTGAAACATCAAAAACCTAGGTATGTTTAGTATGGATAGTGATTCAAAAACCTAGATTAAGCTTGC